ATCATGGTGCTACCACCACCATGCTTGACAGCTGGCACGCCTCACCTTCACACCTCTTGTCGTTGTTGCAGAATAGCTCAAATTTGCCTCCTGAAGACATTTGGCTTTTCTATGTAGACAGCTGCAAATTTCAGTCCAACTTGAAGGTGTTGATTTTGGTGCAGGAACTTGTTTCTTGGTCAGCAGATCTACAGTTGGCTTCACTGTGGACAGTGACGCTGGTCTTTTCCAGTTCATGGCAGGATTCATCCTTGGTGATTCCTGAACTGATCTTTAACATCCTAACAAATTTCCTCCCGTCTGAGGGTGACAGTTTACGGAAGTATGGAAAAAGAACCAATGTGGTGACAAATCTGAATAATTTGGACTTGTATATATTATTGTTTGAACTGATGATCGTGGAATCTGCTCTAATCTACAATTTTCCTTTTTAGATCTTCACGGAGTTCCTTAAACTTTGCCATTGTTCTGAGTATTGATTATTCCATTGAGTGCTGCCAGTTAACACGGTCAAGGTTTGACTTTTTCTTTTAGAGGCAGACCATGTATGCACAGTAACACCTTTCTATCTCTTCGAACCCTGTACTTTAGCATATTTAGTCTTAAATAAAACATAGATATATCTGACACTGGTGTTTAGACAGGGCCAAAATAGCAAGTGCAGTCAAAGTCATTTGACACTTGGATCAGGATCAGTGTTCAAAAAACACCTTTTATCAAAATTATAGCAGGAAAAAAAGGAGCTGCAAACGTGATCGACCTCATCTATGAGCTCCAGGTTGTAGTCCTGATAGTGAAAGAGTTCACCGATGACTTCACAGCTTGCAGGAGCAACATTGGGCTTCCATTAGGAAAAGATACATCAAAATTAGTTGGATAGCATTTCATTATTTAGCATCACAACAGTCCAAAAAACCCAAAAACCAGCCATTGAAGCAGCCAAAGAGGTTTTCGGCTTCAGGCAGCGAGATATTCTCATCCAGTCAGAGTTCTGATCTCCCCCGAACCTCTAAACTTTGGGATCAAGAGCACCATTGGTTAAAATAAATAAATAAACTATATTTGCACTTTTATGTAAACCCATTATCAAACTATCCACCCCTTTCAGGGTCACATTGGGGCTGGCGCTTGTCCCAGCTGTCATAGGGTGAGGAGCGGGGTACGCCACGGAGAGAACGCCACTCCATCACAGGGTCAACAGACGACCATTCAGGCTCACATTCACACCTCATTTAGAATCACTAATTAACCTAACAAGCATGTATGCACCATAGGAGGAAGCCAGAGCACCCACAGGGAAGTCCACACAGGAAGGCCCCAGCCGGACGGTGGACCTCCTTGATGATGAGGTTAACCAGTTACCCACCAGACCACCGTGCTGCACATCCAACCATTTGTTTCAAATAAAAACAGACTCCCATAATCAACAATAGTCAGCTGGTTTTTTTTATTAAATGATAAAAACTGTAACAAAGGTACGTTAAAAAAAGGGACTTTATAAAATCAGTCTCTTTTTTCCTCCCCTCACATCAGCTTTGCAGCAGAGACAGAAGTTTCTGCTGCAGAGTTTTATCATAAAACCTCGCTTTAACCTTTTCCCGTAAAACGACGGCCGTGCCATCCACATAAACATTCAGCTAGTTCCAAAATGCAGGACTGAAAATAAATTACACATATGTCTGTTGGAGATTACCTCATTTGCATTTTAGATGGGTTTAATTATCATTTGCATGCATCAAATTCCTACAGCTGTGCTCAATTTATCGAGGCTTTATTTATTTTTTATCCTAACTACAGGTTGCCTGTTTTTGAAATGACTGAACGGTGGCCCAAATGTGAATGAGGAACTTCTGGAACATGCACATAAAACTAAAGAGAGTGATGGCACTTGGCTGGAAAGCAGACAGAGAAAATATACAGTATCATGTCTCCTGTCTATGTATTCCAGATAGTGGATGAGGGATAAAAGCAGGAGCAGAGCTGTAAGGGTTTTTTTGTTATGTCACCACAGCTCATTTGGAGATAAACAGGGTCCTGCTCAGCTTCAGGGCTGCTGCAAAGCTACCCGGAAGAATGAACCCAGCTACCTTCCGACTGAACGCTCTAATGGCACGGAGACTCGTCTCCGCCGCCGAGCATCACACTCTGCAGCAGGCAGGCCCAGTGGAGCGAAAGAAAAAGACAGCAGGACGGTGGAGATGAGGAGGCTCTGTGTCCACGACCTGCTGCAACAGACAGAACAGCGCGAGAACAGCACAAGACATATTGCTGCTCAGAGTGAAAGAGCAAAAATGTTTCAAGACCGCGTATCCCCCTTCTCTGCCCGCCTGAGGGGTACACACAGCATTATGAGAAGGATTTGAGCTGACACAAGTCACAGTCGCTCCATCGCCGGTGTGGAGGAGGAAGAGGAGAGGGAGGAGGAGGGGGGGATGAATAATTCAACCAGCCAGTGCCGCTCGGCTCTGACGTCTTGTGTTTTATGGGGAGGTGAGGCGAGCCGGCAACAACAACAAGCAGCACCTCCTCACATGACAGCCCGGGGATACGGCATCCAAGGAACCTCGATTTTCCCGAGGACAGGGCATCATTTCAGAGAGCAGCGGTAGAATAATAGCTCCCTCTCAAAATGACACCCGTCGCTGCGGCACACCATCACAGATTGCCGGTCTATCACTCCCCACACACAGGATGAAATGACAGCCCTGCCCCGCTGATAGCAAGGCATCTGAGCCTGAGTAGGTGTTCCTTCTGGCTTAGCCCGGCTTTGATGTTATTATACCAAAGCAGTGCAATATTCAGCTCCGAGATTCACTACCTGCTGCTGAGGTGATCTATTAAAGCTCAGTATTTGTGAAGCTGAGAAAACGGAAGGGTGAAGAAATGTAAGAAGCAGGGATCCTTTTTTTTTTTTTAAAGCTTGTCAAGAAGAAGAAAAAATCCTTTATTCAGGAGCAAATGTAGAAACAGACCCGGCAACAATCCCGTCTGCTCAGCTGCAGAATTACATTTCAATAACACACACACACAAAAACAAAAACAAGAGGAATTAAGAGCACTTCCTGCTTTCTTTCTGAGCAATAATCCAAATAGTTTACCCTTAAAACAGGATTACTGTCTCTTTCCCGCTTGGATTTAGCGCTTCGCTTCCAGAAAAATAAATAAATAAATAAATAAAATAAACCTACAAAGTGCAGACGGAAAAAGAAGGCGTGAAGAAGAAAAAAAGATGAGGCGGTCTTGTGGTGTAACGTAGTTGTTTATTTTAATTCCACAAATTTTTCAAAAAAATTACAAAATACTCAAATGGAGAGAACACAGGACTCACAATTTTTCTTATTATTTCTACTTTTTTGTTTACATTGTGTCATCCCATGGTGACTACTCATATATACAATAAGCTTCAAGATACCAGTATATATATAAATCTTAGCAGTCAGAATTTACATTCTGCTATTGCCGCTTTGAAACAAGAAGCTAAACCATTGACAACACTTAACATCAAAGGCTTCGGAGACACAAAAAAGAGGGAGTAGGAGGTGAGGGATCGTCAGGAGGAGATGATGAGGATGCTGAAGAAGAGTAGGTTGTGAGGAGACATGGCGGGGCGAGGGGTAAATTGGTGGGCGATGGAAAGACAAGAGTGGACAGGCTGTTGTCAGAGCTTCAGAGACGCGAGTGTGCTAAATGATAGTGCTCCATAGGACGATATGGTCGCTTTTAAATGCAAGTACAGTTTCTTTGATTAGTTAAAATAAAATTATACAATTATAAAATCAAATAAAATCGTCCGTGACGGTCAAACAGTCTTAGTGCATGGAATAACTGCAGAATTTGTGTCATGGGCTACAGAAAGAAAAACGTGGGCTCGTGTGCACTGGTAATGACGGGTCAACACTACATGTAACAGTCAGTGGCAGAAACAAACACCACCTCTGAGGCCTCAGAAGGCCATGTGTATCCCTAAGGAACCACCAAGGCGTACAAAAAAAATACACACACACACACACACAGGCACGCACAAACATCATCGACCTTACACCTCCTGGAGGTCAAGTGTCGGCAGGCCCCCCTCTAGTGTCACAGTGAACATTATTACAGCCTAGGTGGAGGATGGCTCAGTCGGATTTGAGCCCTGCAACAAACACCGATGACGGGACGGGGGAAAGAAAAGGAAAGAAAAAAAGGGGGGGGGACATTTAGAAGACAAACTAGAACAGACTCACAGCCACTCATTCACACAACAAAAACAGTCCTGTCAGGCTCCTGTTACAGTGAACACTGTTTAAAAAAAATTCAAAGCGATTTCCCCCCCAAATTTCTTTCATTCAGCCGATGTTTCAGGTGACCACATATCCTTTAAAAAGAAATCCTAAAAGTAGAGGATTCATTTGGCTCTTAAATAGTAATTTCAATCAAAATGGATAAAATCAGCTGAGCTCGAGGACGCTCCTTCAGTGCAAACTTCTTCTTTTGTTTTAACATCTTCCCTCCATCCTCAGTGTGCACTCCACAGAAGCGTCAGCGACCACGGTGTCACTTCTTCAAGTGCTCCCCCCATCGTTAAAAGTCCGCACGCCGAGTTCGACCGGCCGAGCGTGGAAGGCGATGAATGGATGTGGTTGGCGTGACGGGCTGATGGTTTACATAGTGCATGTGTGGCTAAATCTAAACACAGTGATGTCAGAGGAACGTCACAACGCAACTCTCAGAAACTGCTCGTATAATGCCATGGTGCTCCCCTCTGAAACAAGGGATAATGCTTTGAAACAATTATAACTGGAGGTTGAAACGACTTGGTTTGGAGTCCACACCTAGTAATAATAATAATTATAATAATAATTATATGTTTATATATACTATTTACAGACTCAAAAACGCCATGCTGTAGCTTTTCTTAAAATTATGAAAAACCTCCAACAATGTATTAAAATAAATGTTGAATTTAAGATAGCACTTGTTATTTTTCCATAAATGGTCTGACCGGTCTCGGCTTTTTCTTTTTTTTTTTTGTTTGTTTGTTTGTTTTGTAATAAGCACAGTGTCTTGTTCTAGCACCTACAAAAAAAAAAAAACATCAGGGAAGCTTGTCATGCAGGAGTCTTGAGGATGTTGTCACTACTGGCTATATACCAAAGAAAGTCAATGTCTTGGAAAATAATAATTAAAAGAAAAGAAAAGAAAAAAAGGTCCTCGACATGAACGAAAACAGAAATCTCAGGAGAAATCTCAGACGATTCACTTGGCTTTTTCTGTTCGTCAAAACTGAAAGTGTTCAGAGGATCCTGAAGAGCCTCTTTGAGACTGCTCTGTAACAACTTCCTGTGTCCTGCACCTGTCAGTCGCCGCCTCCCTCGGCTCGTTACAGCTGCTTGTCGCTCTCCTTCTTCAGTCGACTGAAAGGACAAAAGAGCAATGTTTTAAAATTAAAAACAAAAACAAAAATAATCAAGCATGCTCAGAAAACCCGACTACAACAATAATTAGGATAAACTACCTGTAGTAGTCCTCCTGGCCAGGCAGTGGTCCTCCGTGCATGTGATGGTGCCCATGCAGCCACTGCTGCTCCATGGCTAGCCTCTGGAGCTCGGCCGACTGGGCGTGCATGGCCTGCAGCTGGTGGGCCGCCGACATAGTTGGTGGAATACCTGCTGGTAGGTCCCGTGGGTATGGAGTACCTGGAGGAAGACCCGACACAGAAAATGTGATCAGGCTCAGACTGATAGAAGCTCAGACTGATAGATGTGATGCGTTATTGCTGGTAAGGAGAGTCAACACTGGCTGAGAGCCTACCAAAAACTGGGTGTCGCAGCATCTCGTGTTCGTGCGGCGGCTGGCCCAGGAGAGGGTTGGGGATGGCGCCGGGTGGGTAAGGGAAGCGTGCCAGGTGAGGTCCGGCCAGGGGATCTACTGCCAGCGGATGAGCGCCGGAACCTGGAGGACACACAAGACATTCACCACCACCTTCTGGGTGTCAGAGTCTTAGGTTCAGGGTACACTCATTACAAGCATCACACAGCATGCTACAGACATTAATGATACTCAGCTTAATGTAACGTTACTCCTCAAGGTTGATTTAAAGAGTGCAGGGACTACGTTACTATATTTATCCATTGTAAAAAATCTGTTGGCTCTGTCAGTAACTTAAGGAAGATATGACTTCCTGTCATCCAGTCTGTCAGTGTAACTACATTACAGTGACACTGATCACAAGTCCCTTTGTTCAGTCTTTAATGAGCGAAGTAACAAATTAGTGCAGTACATATTATATATATAAATATATACATATATAAATGATACAAAACCATGACAGATATGCTCACTTCGATACTTAATACAATATATCATTTGTTCATTTCACTGCAACAACTTTGTCAAAACATCTCTTTCCTTTTAAACAACATCAGAATAAGTGCAGATAAATGGCAACATTTCAAACAGCAACATGCTTCCTGAACTCAAAAAGCAGTCTGGCATCTGTTATGTTTAATCAAAATGTAGTAATTAATACTACATAACCAAAAATACAATATATATATGTATTTCAGAGTGATAACAGGTTAAATTGACCTGTGGAGTGACTCAGGGCTCCACTTTTGGTCTTCAAACATTTAATTAAATAAAGTATCTGTTCATTCTTAAGTTGTCATCTGTAATTAAAGCTTCTAAATTCAGTTTTAAATTTCACTGTCATGCATTTATGAACTAAGCAGGGCTTTCGTTTACCTTGGTGTAAGGGATCTTGCTGGTGGAGGTGAAGATGGGAGTGAATATGCGAGTGCTGGTGGTGGTGCGGCGTGACATTGAACATCTGCAGACGAGCGATGGGGTCATTGGCCACTGTTGCCATCCTCTCTGCGTGGAGTCTCTCTGCTGCCAGCCTCTCTGGGTAGCTCATTTCTGGGCGCAGCTGAGGCCCCGCGAGGGCTAGCCGCTCACGCTCTAATGGGTTCAGGCTGGGATGAAAGGAGGCGAAAGGGTGAGGGCCGGCCATGGGGGGCAACGTGATGGCCCCGTGGCGAGCAAAGTGTTCCATGGGATTTGTGGAAGGATGGAGTGTGTCCATCTCTGGAGGCTTGACCTCAAAACCAGGTTTCATCCTTTCCCTCAGCTCCCTCTCGCGAATCTCCCTCTCGCGCATCTCCCGCTCTCGAAGCTCACGCTCCCGCATGGCGGGGTCGGCGTTGTATAAGCTGGGCATGTGATAAGCTAGCAGCGGGTCTGCGGGGTTGAGTGACACAAAGAACGGGTGGTTTCGATTGGTGGGCGACATGACGTGGGGCCGGGCATACTCGCTGAGGGTGCGTAGGGCGGGTGTGTCGGGGCCAATGTAGGGAGGCACAGCTGCAATAGTAGTGGGGGGACCGTCGAAGGGTGGACGCATGTGGGCGGGGCCGGCCATCTGAGGTTCGCTCATTCGGCCTTCGTGAGATGAACTGGAGGCTTTCTGCGAGGAGAGGAACATCACGCTTAGTTTTTATTTTATCTTTTTCAAACAAAACCAGTGCGAAACA